AGCTGTGCATATCCAAAAGTAGGGAAATGCAATTTGAAATAACAATGAGAGATTACTTTATACTCAGAGCTTAAACTCATATTTCTAGCAGATAAACACAAGAAAAAAACTTGCATACACTGTGAAACATTATGCCCTTTCGAAAAGCAAGTTTTATTAAAATTATATATATATGATGTCACACACATATATATCATGCCTATATACATATATGTATACAGATATAATTTAATTTCTATATATTTATCTCACACAGACACAACCTTCAGGGAGAACAGGCACATGATTTTTTTTTGCAGCATGTTCAGAGTTGCAAGAAAAGGTAACAAAGCCATCAGTAGGTGAATGGCTGAATAAATCAAGATACTAACACTGTAGAATGTTATGTCCTATCAAATGAAACAGAACTGAACCAGAGTATCTTTGAAGTATTGTTAAATAGAAAAAGCATAATACAGGAAAGCACATACAATACATCTTATTTTTGTAAAACAGTGATCAAAATTGCCTAATAGAATACATGCATGTGTATACTTGATACTAAAGACAGCACACAAAAGGTTAGATATAGACTGTTAGTAAGGGGTGAGCTAGGAGGAAAAGGGCTGCAGTGGAAGGTCACTCTGGTGGTTTAGAAAGAGAGGAGGGAGTCCAACTCAGCCTCCACCAAAAATCAAAAAATAAAAAAAATAAAGGCAGAGCTGGGAGTGGTGGTGCACGTCTGTAATCCCAGCACTCCGGTGGCTGAGGCAGGAGGATCATTGCAAGTTTGAGGCCATCCTGGGCTACAAAGTGAATTCAAGGCCAGCCTGAACTGGCCAGCAAGACCTTGTTTCAAAAAGATAAAAAACAACAAACAAACAAATAAATAAATAAATAAAGGCAGAGACCCTTGCAATTGGACTTTCTCACTCTGCAGCCTAGCCAGCCCCACCTCCACAATGCTTGACCCTTGCCTCCCTGGTCACACTTTCCCTTGTACTGCATGTGACTTTTTATGGCTTGCTCCGCAACTCCAGAGTGGGGAGCAGGTACTGAGGGGTGGAGCTTGCCTTCACTGGGGGCCAGAATTCAGTCCCTGCTCTCCCTAGACCTTTGGGCAAGCCCACAGAGGCTATGGGAATACTGGTTCACTTGCTGTCTAATGTATGTCCTCCTCAGGCTCAGCCTGGAGATCAACTCCTCAGAGAAGACTCCTTGCTCTTCTCCTTTCTTACTCCTTTTCAATCCTGTCCTGGTATTTCCTGTAGTAAGACTCGTCATAATTTGGCACTGTTTTATTTGTATGTGTGTGCTTGAGTGTTTAATGTGTATTTCCTCAATAAGCTGTAAATGCTCCAGGGGAGAGACTTTGTGTGTACAGTACTCAGTGTGGCCCCCGGCAGGGCTCAGGGTGTGCTGGGTGCTTTTGATGACTTACTCACTAGCGTTCTGTCTTTCCTTGACTCAGTCTTTTATTCACCCCTTTATTCACTTATTCCCTTATTCACTCCAGAAACATGGTATTGGCTAATGGCTTTTCTTGATCTGAGGCTTCCACTTTCTAGGTGGCTTTTTCTGGAAGAAAGTGGTGACGTGATGACGGAATTCTGGGAACATATCCACTGGGTGAGTTGGAGGCACTCCAGGCAAGGAGGGGATGTTCCAGGAGGCTGGAGGATCTCGGCAAAAGATGGGAAGGACAGGGGAAAACAAAGCTGAAGGTGGTGGGCAGACTACTTTCTGTTCCCCGTGATTCCCAGGATCTCCCACTGCCTGGCTTTGTTCAGGCCTCTACTCTGTCCCTGTCTCCAAGTGTTGAAATCCCTCCCTTCCACAGGCAGGCCAGCTTTCCTCCAAATCTCTCTCATTGCTCCAGCTGCAAGGGCTGGTCCTGGCTGCAAACAAACTCTCCAGGCATTTAATCTGGACCTCTCTCGGGTGACCACTTCCTAGCTTGTGCTGAGATGCGGCCCCCATCTGCTTCCACTGCTCAGGCAGAGACGTTAGCCACTGTTCCCTGTATCTTGCCAGCCCAGAACCCAGCACCACATTGACCCTCAAGCCACTCTGGCCTGACAGTGAATAGTGCCATGAGTTGGGGATGTGGTGGGGCAGTAGTTATTAACCCATTTTACAGATAAGGGAATGGGGGCAGAGACAAGAGGTGTAATTTACCCTTGCCCCCAATCAAAATGGCAGACTCTAAACTTGGTGCTGATTTCTGGTACAGAGGCAAAGCTAGTTCCAGAGAAGCTTGGTGGGAGATGGGGTCGGGGTGAGATGGGAGCTGGGTCCTGAGAACCAGCAAGCCAGAGAGCTTTGGAGTTTGGATGGCCAAGTTCAGGGAAAGCACAGCTGGGGTGGAGCCAAGGTATTTATTATGCTTGGTCTCAAGCTCCAAACAGAGCTGATGGATGGAACTACTCCAGTTCCTATAAACAGCTCAGGCCTCCCTCCCTCTCCTCCATCCCTCCCGGTTCTCAGCCACAACTGTTTCCAGTGAGATACAGGGTGAGGGTGGGGGAGATGACCAGGGAGGGAAAGGAGGAAAGAGGGACGGGAGGCCAGAGGGAGGAGAAGGCTGAAGATAAGACAGGGTTCTAGAGGCCTGAGGAAATGGAGGGTGGTCAGAGAGTTTTCCTATTTTGCTTCCCCACCGGCTGCTGGGTCCCCGAGGCAGCCCACACCCTGAGAGCCCCTCTGTGTCTCCTGGGTCTGTCTGAGATCTGGTCTTAATCCCAGGGGTTTATGAAGTGCTGGAAGTCAGGGGATGTTTATTCAGGAAATTTTATCTGAGCTCTCTGCCTGGGCTGGCTCACAGTTCCTGGGGACACACAGAGGGTTTCAGTTTGGACGTCCTCGAGGGGCTCTTGGCCTGATTCAGGCCAAGCAGACACCCTAGTACAGTGGCTAGGGCAGCCTGGGGCTGTGGGTGGCTGGAAAAGGGAAATATGGGCAGTCTCTCTAGGAGGTGAGCCATCCGAGCAAGGGTAGCAGAAGGAGTCAGCAGGTGGGTGAGACATTCTGAGGGGCAACTCAGGGGAGAGCCTGGTGTCAGGCAGTCAGGAGGCAGTGCCACCTAATGGACAAGGAGGCCCCTGAGTTCAAGTCTTAGCTCTAGACTCAGTTTCTCTAAAATGAGTTGATCTCTTCTAGGTTTGTCAGAATTAACAGGACAAAATACATGAAATGCTCAACACAGGGGGCCTCCCTGACAAGCTTAGTAATTGTCCCTCTGAGCACCTTGTGCACAAGACAGAGAGAGATGGGGCTGGAGGGCAGCAGGGACATGTGAGCTGCCTGAAGGACAGGGGCATGGGGACAGACAGCCCATCCTAGGTCCTGGGCATGGTGTATGGGGGCTGGATGTGTGGGGAGCCAGCATAGTTCCCTGAATGAAGGAGCTGAGTGATGGCACCTCGGGTGGCCTGCAACATGGGGTCCACAAGGGCCTTCCTCTTCCCTGAAATTTGCTAAAAGCCTGGGAAGCCGGATGCTCTGATGACCTAGTTGGCAGCTGTGTCCACGTTTGGCCGAAAACAGGAATTTCTGACTCACTGGGGGGTCTTGGCCAGGTGAGCAAACTCGCCTGTTTGCCAGGAAAAGGGGTCAGGAGCCTGGTGGGCTCCCAGCTGGGTGGGAGGTCCAGACACCCTAGGAGTCAGCCTATACTACATCTAGGCCTTCACTGAGCACCTACTATGTGCCACAGGTTGTCACACCCCTTCTCATCCCAACACCACCCCAGGAAATAGGTGTTTAAGACGTTTCTTTGGAAAGTGGGAGCTGGGAACAGGAACTAGAAGGGGAGAGTTACAGGCCAGAGAAGCTGGCTGGAGAGCTGCCTCTCCAGGAGGCAGACCTGTGGCACCAGAGCCCATGTGGTAGCTGGGCCTGAGGCGGGTACCCAGGACAGAGGAAGGACTAGGAGGATCACTGAGCTGGACTTTAGGGAGAGGCAGGCTGGTGAGGAAGGCTGGCTTCTGCAGAGGCTGTGACTAGGAGTCGGGCTGCTGAGAAGAGGAGCTGGGCACTAGAAGACAAGCTCCTGGAGCTGCAGAATGGGAGACGGGAGAAGCAGGGGGATTACTCTCTGGCTTCCAGATCCTGCCAGGCCGTTGCCTCTGCCTCCCAGCACTCACACTGCCCCAGCTCCCCTCCACCCAAGGAAGTGGCTCCTGCCCCTTCCCAAGGCACCAGGCCCCGCACTCTCACTCTCCAGCTCCCATCTTAGAACCAGTAATTCTCACTGTCCAAGCTCAATCTGGATCTGCAGCCTAAATTCTTCTTTAATTTTCTATGTCTCTGGAGACCTTTAGCTTTCTTGGTACAGGGTTGGATCCTCAGGGCAGATGAGGGTGGAGACAGAGATATGCACCTCGTAGTTGGAGCCATGGGGTAGCTTCAGCTAAGAGCAGTCCGAGAGGTCATGATTCAGAGATGGCTCAAGAGAGATGAGCATGTAGAGGAGCCAGGAAAGGAGTGGCCTGGGAGGGAGGAGACAACTTCATAGGTGAGGTCACAGATGTCAGGGAAGTCATAGGTGAGGAGCTCTGGCTCAGGGGTCCAGGAGATGAAGTCTGGAAAGTTCAGAGCTTGGAAAAGGAGCTAGCAGAGACCTTAGCAGGCACAGCCTGGGTGGGGTGGGGAAGTTTGCGTGTGAAGAGCAGAACGAGGAAGCGGAACGGGGTTTAAGGGTCTCTTTGCTGTTTTTAAGATGGGCAAGACTTCAGCCCCTAAGAAAGGGGTGGAGAGGCTGAGCGCAAAGAAAGGGAAGGGACATGTAGCTGCAGAAGGAAGTCACCAGTCTCTCAGTGTTGGGGTGGGAAGCAGGTGTGTGCTCAGCAGGGCTGTGTGCCATCCTGAAGGAGACTAAAGCCCCAAGGTCCAAGGTGGTGATGGCCTTGAGCCTCCGTGTCTTCCAGACCCTGGTCATGAGGGCTGAAAGACCCTATAGGAAGTAGAAGCAGTTGGGGTTCAAGCGTACCCACCGCAAGGACGAGGCTGGCAGAACACACTATTTCTCCAAAATTAGACTTTAATACATTCATGTGGGTTACACACGGAGCTGGTCCCAAGACGTGTGAGGTGACAGCAGCACAGTGTAGTGTTTTCATAGGATAAGCACAGGGGCCAGCACTTTGTCTCTGGGCCTGAGGAAGACTGCTGTATGCAGTAGCACCTGTGATCAGCCAGCACTGAGCCACCCAGTGGCCTTCACACCACCACCAGGGTGCAGGGAGGGTTCTTACCCTGACTCTGACCATCAGCTCTGTGAGCCCTTAATCCTCTCTGGGTCCCAGTTTCATTCTCTTGCCCCTTACCAAATGCCCGTGGTATGACGCTGAGGACAAGATGCTGAGGACAATAACTGGGTCTTTGGCTGGTCCTGGAGTTTCCTTTCTTCCCAGACGGCTCATGACCCCACGGTATGAGGGAGAAGGGTTTATTTGACTGGATCTTTGCACCTATTTCTTAAGGGGCAAAAAATCCCTGCAAGATGAGGAGCACAAAGAAAGTCTGAGGTCAGCAATGCCTTGCCACGTGGCAGCTGGGAGAAGGCCTACACCCAATTTCACCCCAGTGAGGCTGGAATCTAGTTTTTTCCCACAGGCTCTGCCTTTGAGTCTATGTAATCCGTTCCTATTCTTTCCTAAACCTGTTTCCCTATCTGTGCAGCAGGGAGGTTAGACTTGATGGTCTCAAACTCCGGGATATGCTCAGCAGAGGGAGATGGAATGAGAGAATGCAGGAGGTAGAAGAGCAAAAGGAAGACACACACCAGTCCACGAAGGAGGGAATGAGGGACATTTAGGATGAGAAAGTACGGGACCTACAACTGCCTGGAGAGGAGAAAGGAGGTGTGCATAGCACAGGGAAGCTCAAGCCCTGGGAAGGTGACATGGGACCACTTCGTGTCTACCTAACAGCTTGTGGCCCAGCAGCAGCAAACTCAGACCCTGGAGACAGGAGGATGTGGGTCTGAATCTCAGCTATGGCATTTTAGCAGTGAGACCCTGGAGGGGGACTTCTAGAACCTTACTTTCCTCCTTTATATAACAGAGGTAAAATACCAACGTCCAAGATTTGTCACACAGAGGCAGCCACAAGGCTTGGATTTGCATCTGCAGCTGCTAATCTGGGTACAAACAAGAACCAGATACCTACTGTAGCCCTTGGCTCAGCAGTTGGGGTGGGGCTGGGTGGAGAAGTGGGGCCTGGGCGGGAGGGGTTCAGGCAGTATTGGGGTCAACGTGTGCAACAGGAGAGTGCCCGGGAGGGAAAGGTCCTGTCCAGAGCAGGACCTAGAATGGCCCACTGGATGGGAGCCCAGGGTGGCCACCTCTTGACCAGGTCCTGCTGGGGCTGCTATAGCCTCCCAAACAGCACTGGATCCAAAATATATTCATGACGCTCTGGTTCTGTCTTCCAGCCACAAGCTTGTCATTTTCCAGAGAGGCTGAAAGTCATTATTAGAAGATGTGACAAAACAGTCTGCTTGAAAATGTCTCAGACAAATCCTCTTGGGTTTGGTCCTCCCTTGCCCCGGCCCAGCCAGGGCAGGACTCCACACCAAAGCCGTGGGGCTGCAAAGCAGTGGAGCCCCAGGCTTTCCTACCTCAACCTCATCACACTGTGGTCACTGCCTGGCACTGTGACGAACGCCCCTACCAGAGGGCAGGCATGTATTTCACTTGGTATGGACCCAAACAGATGCTCTGTGAAGCTCTGTTGATCTGCTGCCCCTGAGCTTACCCAACTTCCGGCTTCCACAGCTGGACCAGATGTACAGCCTGGGAAGTGGGCCACCTACTGATGCAGCAGGATGCAGAGAAAGGAGCCCTGGCCTGGGATTTAGAGACCAGAGCTCTGGGACTCTGGCTAACTCTGTGGCCACAGGCCAGTTCCCACTCCTCTGTGCCTCCAGTGCCTGCACAGACCTTGAAGGATCTCCTGACTTCTTTAGGCTTTGTACTGTTGGTTAAACTTCTGCCGGCGGACGAAGCAACAGGCAGCCAGTGTGGTAAGGAGGATGGCCAAGGCTAGTGTGAAGGTGAGGATGATGATGAGATTGATGTTCTTGAGTCCTCCTTCCTCACAGTCCTCGGGACGCACGTGGCTCAGTGATACCTCAGCCTGGGAACCAAAGCGGCAGATCAGGTCCTGGGTGGCGTCCACATCCACACGGCCCTGGTGCAGTTGGGCTGCCAGCCAGCCATTGCCGCAGCAGCTGAGTGGATTCCCTTGCAGGTAGAGACGCCGAAGGCTGGTCTCCAGGCCACCCATGGCACTGCCTGGTAAGAGGCTGAAGCTGTTGTTCCGCAGGTCCAGCACCTCCAGTGATACAGCCTGTGTCCAGGCAGGCAGGTGGCTGAGGCGGTTCTCAGAGAGATTAAGCCTCTTTAGACAACTGAAATAGGGCAGGTCCACCTGCAGGACAGTCAGCCCATTGCCCTGCAGTGCAAGGATCTCCAAGGAGGCCTCCAGGCCTGCTAGGGCTCCTGTGGCCACCTTGAGACCAGGGTTGGCAGAGAGGTCCAGCTCGGTGAGCGGGGTGTGGAGGAAGGCGCCTGCCCTGAGCACCTCTATCTCATTACCTGCCATGTTCAGAACACGGAGGGTGGGGATGCCAGAGAAAGCCACACAGTCTGGGAGGCTGGGCTCTGCTGGTCCCCCGCAGGGGCTGACTCGGTTTCCCTGCAGGTTGAGCCTCTGCAGACTGGCCATGTTGGCAAAGGTATAAGGTGGCAGATCCCGCAGGGCATTGTCCTGTAGGAGCAGCATCTGTAGGGACCCCAGGGCTCTGGTACCCAGCTCTAGAGCCTCCAGCACATTGTGGCTTAAATCCAGGTGCACCAGGCAGGGCAGAGAGCCTATGCGCCGGGCCCCAAAGGCCCGCAGGCAGTTCCGGCTGAGGTTCAGGAAGCGAAGGGAGGTCAAAGGCTCAAAGAAGCTGTCTGGAAGGAGCTCAATCTCATTGTTGCTCAAGTCCAGGTTCAAGAGCTGGGAGAGTGCACGGGTGCTAGCGTTCCAGCTGGGGCTGAGGAGGGGCGAGGCTGACCAACCCTCGGAAGGTGTATGGAGGCCACTGCTGCCTTGCAGCGGCCCTGTGGGGAACCGGATGAGGTTGTTGGACATATTCAGGTATGAGAGTCTTGGGAGGGTGGCCAGGTCAGGGAAATGGAGCAGTTTATTCTCCCGTAGGTCGAGCCAGGCAAGCTGGTACTCAGCCTGGGGCTCCGGGGCTGTCTGAAAGGCCTCGATACTGTTGCAGCTCAGGTCAAGCACCCGCAGCTGCTGGAGGCTGAAGTCGGAGATACAGGTGAGGGAATTCCGGGAGAGATTGAGACGGGCCAGGTTGGGCAGGGCCTCAAAGGCACCATCTTCAATGTCCATCAGCACGTTGCTGTGCAGGTCCAGCTGTTCCAGCGCAGGCAGGCCCCAGAAGGTCTGACGAGTCAGACGGGTCAGGCTGTTCTCCGCCAGCGAGAGTGTGCGCAGTCTGGGGGCTTCGCCCAGCAGCCGCTCCACCAGGCCGCTGTACAGGCTGTTCCCAGATAGGTCCAGGGAAGTCACGTGGGGCAAGGGACCCAGGCCTCCGGCGCTCAGCGCGGTGCCCACCGCTAGGCGGTTGCGGGCCAGGTTGAGATGCTCCAGATGGGGCAGGGCCTGAAAGACTCCTGGCTGCAGGAAGCTGATCTCATTGGCGCTCAGGTCCAGGCGACGAAGGGCAATGTAGAAGCCCAAGGGTGAGACCAGGACATTCCGCAGGTGGTTTCCAGAGAGGTCGAGGGCCTCGATGTTCAATGGGAGCATTGCAGGGACCTGGTACAGGCCGAGGCCCTGGCACAAGGCCTCCTTGTTCACCTGGGGAGGGTAGAAAGAGCAATGGGCATTCATGTGTACAGTAGGGGTACAGCCAGACAGCCTACTCTAGGACAGTTAACTCCCCTCAAGGCTTGGGTGAGTGCTTCTATGGACTCCCAGAAAGCTAGACTGTCCTCCACAGCCTGGCTGATGACCCATTCTCCCCCTAACCTTGTACCTAGCACCCAATACAGCACTGCACAGAGAGGGACTCGGTGAAGGTCTGGTAGGTAGACAGACAAGTAATAAATGGACGGGGGACAAACTAAGAAAAACCTTGTACTGGTTATTATCTCATTTCACAGGAAACTAAGCCATGTATATCAGTCAGGGTGACACAGTCAGTGAGCAGCAGGGCCTGGTTCCCTGTCCTGAGACCCTGCTATCGCCCTGAGAGTTTGTATTTACTGTTTGCATTTGCTCCTTCTGACATACCCACCTGCAATGCCTGGCAACTGCTCAAAAACCCTGCTGTTCTTATCTCTCCCAGGACAGAGTCCGGGACCCTCAGTAAGGCATCCAGCACTACTTGTGACTCCTGCTGCCTGTCCTCTGCACTGGGCCCACGTGTGGTGACTGCTCCTCTGTGACAAGAGTCACAGACATCTGCGTGGTGTTAAGGTTTAGTATACAGGGCTGAGGCTTGGAATCAATCACTTTCTTGAGGGGAAAGCAAGGAACTAATCACGTGATTAGAGTCAAAGAGCATCAGACCAAAACCGGGGCAGCTCATCCAATTCCCAGGTTGGGGGACTGAGACCTGAAGAGGGAGCAACCCACATGAGGTCACAGGAAGCCGAAGCTGAGCCAGCAAGGAAAAAACAGCCTGGGGGTTCCTCATGGGGTCTGGCTCTGTCATTTCTTCCAAAAGCCCCAAGTGAGTAGGGGAGGATGGAGCTGCCCAGCCTCGGGTATCTGTGTGACCCTTCCTACTGCATGTCCACCATGATGGCCTTGTTATTCCTGGGAAACGGGCTTCACAGAAGCCTCAGGAGCCCCAGGGATTCTCCCACAGCTGACACCCACACCTTGCCAGTCTTTGCCCTTTCCTCCCTCATCACTTCTCAGCTCACTGGCGTCACAGACACAGCCTCATCGCCAGCCTCAGCTCCCAGACCATCCTGACTTAAGGAAGAAATGACGAAAAGAGGAAGTCCAGCCCTGCAGTGGGTTCCACGCTGAGTACACGGATCCCTCACCTCATTTAATCCTCCTGTCCCCTTCCTCTATGTCCTCCCTAAGGAAACTGAGATTGTGCAAGGTCAGAGAGCCATAGGCTCAACGTTACCACTACCATTACCAGTTTCTGTTCCTATCAGTGCAAGTTGAGTTCTGACTACTGAGCCTTCAGCTAGTCAAGCACACGGGCGGACTCCTTTAACACAGGAAATAACACCGGGCACCATTTACAGGGCAGTGGAGTGGGGCACTGTACTGCGCTTCACGTGTCACTTCATCTGCAAACCCACACCCATATTCCCTCTACATGGGCAAAGGTTCCCTAGGTACCAGCCTGACGGTAAGCTAGGGCACAAAACTGGCCCAGCCCAGAGTCTGAGATTTGCTATCAGCTCAGGAGCCAGGACTTGTGCTAGAGACACACCACGGCTGCTGATGGGCAGAGCCCATTTCTCCAGTCCACGGCAGGAGAGAGCTTGAAGGCCACAGCAGCTCCTCGAATTCAATGTCCAGCTGCCTCCTGACCCCCAGCCTCAAGCTCCTAGCAGGGAGTGACTAATGGGGCTCACCCAGGGCTCACCCAGGCTGGGCTTTAGAGCTCCTCCCTGCTCTCTCTGCAGCATCAGCCACTACCCAGCTTTCTTCTTAGGCAGGAACGGGACTTGCCACCAGTTCCACTTACTGTCTGGACATGGGACAGCACGCCAGGGCAGGAAGAGGCATCTGGCAGTGGCCAGCGTAAGGACAGCTGGGTGAGAATCCTGATTCAATCAGTTCCTGCTCTGACTCTGTCCTGGAGTGGGGCAGTAGCACGTGTCTTCTCTACTCCTGCCTGTACTCTGCTGCTTCACAGAGTGCTTTCCCGCTTCTGATCTCATTTCCCTAGGAAGGAACCAAAGCTGCCCCTGCTCCTCTCTGCCTGTTGGACCAAGGTCCCTCCCTACATAGAGCCTCCCTCTATCCCTAAGGTGTGTTGGTATCTGGTTACGTCTGAGGCCTTCTCTGCTCATCATTCTGGGTTCTCTCTCAGGATCTCTGAGACTCACAGGAGAAAGAACAGCGGTAGCCACAGAAGAGACCACAAGCCCAGGGGAAGGGCTGCCAGTCACCTGCCAGCGCTCTGGTCTCCTGCCGCAGCTGCCCCTTCTGTGTCCCAGTGGGGCTGCTAGAGGGCGGCTCTTTTCTCCAGCCTTGACCTATGTGGCTGCCCAGCCTTCCCAGTGGACCCAAATGGTATCTTTTCCCTGTACCGGACAGGGTCCCAGGACCTTGGAGGCCAGTCTCCTTGGCTTGCAGCAGAAAAAAAGAACAAATGGGAATCAAACCTGTCCCTACCCTAGAAAAATTCTTGGTCTGGAAGGTAAGACAGGCTCAGACCACTCACCAGGACGCCAGTGTGCTCAGTGTGCTCAGCACTGAGGTGCAGGACAGCTAGGGAATGGCAGAAGCCTAGAAGAGGAAGTGGCCAGACAGTCAGCCTGGGAAGGGTCCAGGGAGGCTTCCTGGAGGAGGCGGTAGTAATGAGTGAGTAATGCCAGTAATGAGTGAGATGCATTCTAGAGGGCAGGTCCAGGTCAAGGAACTCAGTTAGGGAAGAGGATTTGTCCCCAGAAAAGACAAGGACAGAGGAACCTCTCCCAGTTAGCTCCTTCTACCTTCCTATACATTCTAGATCCCCCCAGCTGGGCCTCCTCTCCTGTAAGGACAGCTTAGAGGAATACAGGTCAATATTGGGCTCACTGTTCTTAACTACATGATCTTGTTCAAGTCATCCACTTCTTTAACCCTCAGTTTCCTCCTCTGTAAAATGGGAATAGCAAAGCTTACTGGGTACGCTTGCTGGGTAAACAAGGTATTTCAACATTCTAGTGGTTGCTCATTAAATGCAAGGTAAATCCCTTTCCTCTCTTGACTCTAACTTCTGGCTTCTGAGGTGGGGTAGGAGGACATCTCAGGACAAAGGTGGTGTGGTATGTCCCTCATCCTCACTTGGCAGAGCATCTTACCATCTTACAGGGCATCTTGTCTCGGTGTTGGGAGGTATCCAGGCCTTGAGTCAGCACGGCCAGAAGCAGCAGGATCTGGTGGCTCATGGCTCTGTGTAGGGTGGGGAGGACAGGGAAACACTGTGAGACCACCGGTTCCTTCCTGCTGCCAGCCCCACCTCTCCCACTCTCTGCCTGCCCACAGGAAGCTCCAGGCTGCAGCTGGGCTGGAATACGGAGGAGGGGAGCAGGTGGGACCTGGGGCCGCATAGAGCCCCTGGGAGGCCAGGCCAAGTTGGATCAGTGTCCAGGAGAAGCAAGAATTTTAGAGCAGTGGTGCCTTGGTCAGGTGTGGATTTTCAAAAGACCCCACCTGATAGGAAACAGCCTGGAGGGGAAGTGCAGGAGGCAGAAGGACCCAGGACTGCCCTGGACCATGCTCGGGGTGGGGGATAGTGAGGGGGGCTCTGCCTCTATATCTACCCACATCACAGCAGGTCCCCTACCTCAGCTCCTTAGGCCCCAAATATAATTCCTCATTCCACCCCCTCTACCCACCCCACCAGCCCTCTACCTCAACCCCCACTCTCACCCTCCTCATTTGGTCCTTTTTCTTTTGATTTTCTGATTCTCTAGCCCTTGCCATTGTTCAAGGACTGGGATCGGGGCCTTGACAGGAAGCCCCACCAGGGGACCTGCCCGGCCCCAGCACTGTTTGCGGACTTCCCCCAGCACAGGCTGCCAGGCCCCATACTTTCACTGAGGCCACTGGCTGTACAGGGGCACTGGGACTTGCTCCACGAGCAGCCAGGGATTGGTTGAGGGAACCACAGAGCCCTCAGCAAGACTGAGTCCCCGGGTGATCTCCCTGAGGACCATCTTAGGCCAACTGCTGGGGATACACAAATCAATCCATCAGTTTTATTCAGTCAATCAGTCACAGCATCACCAATGTTTTCTCATGTCTGGCTCTGTGCTGAGAACTGGGGACACAAAACACAGAGAACACAGAAGTGATTATAACATGGACAAACGGTGTTAACAACGAGGGACCCATAATGCCCTTCAGAACACCGGAGTCACCCACATCTGCCTGCTCCCTCTCGTCTCATCTACTTACCTGCTGTGTGACCTTGTGTAAGTCACTTCACCTCTGTGAGCCTGTTTCCTTTTCTGAAGTTAATGACAACCATACTAAGTTTCGCTGAGGATCAAACGAGGTGTATTCTCTGAGGGTGTCACTCACAGAGCCCAGACACTCAATACTTTATAACTATGAATTCACTTAATTCTCACAATAACTCAGTGACTTGTTGGTTCCATTATTACCATTCTTATTTTGCAGAAGGGAAACTAAGTCTCAGAGTGGCTAATTATAAAGCCAGCTAAGTGGCAGGTCCAGGTGAGCCTGGGTCTGTGTCCTTAAATTCCATACTGGAAGGTTCTTAGGTCTCCACAGAGCAGGCTCAATCATGAGGGCGGGACTGTGACTCTGAAGAAGGCCTGGGAGAAAAGGCATGTGCAGGGCCTTTGGGGGTTGTGCTTTGACTGTCGGAAACCACTAGCAATGACTTTCAATGACCTTTAATTGCTGATAGCTGCTCTGAGGTCCTTTCTTGCTGGAACATGCAAGGGCCTCCAGTTATCTTTCAAATCTTTTCCCTGGCTCCCTGAGGCCAACAGGCCCTGCCCCACTGCAGTGCTGCTTATGTTGATGGGAAATTTTGTTCTGTTGTTTAAAAAACAGATGTCAGCCGGGTGTCATGTTGCACATCTGTGATCCCAGCACTTGGGAGGCTGAGGCAGGAGGATTGCTATGAGTTTTGGTGTCAATTTGAACTACATAGTAAAGACCTTGTCTCAAACCACCCCCCCAGAAAAGAAGCAAGCAAGCAGATGTCACCACCTGTTTGACATTAGCATACCCAGAATCAAATGAGAATCAAGGGCCCCCAGGCTCTGGAGGAACAAGGGCCAGCTCTGTAGCCTCCTTTCTCCCTGGGTCCTCTCCCTCTAGGTCTTTGAGCACCTTTGCACTGTTTCAACCTTCACTTCCTCTCCTCTCCCCTTCTGCTGAATACCTCCACATCCTGCTGCTTTCGGCTTCCATCTCCCCTCCTCCGAGAAGCCTTCTTTGGTTCTCTGAAGCCTTTGCTTCCCTGAAGCCTTTTTGGTTCCATACTATGAGCTCACACCAGCTCTCCATGCTTTGTTACCCGCCCCCCCATCCTGTGGGAAGCTCCCCTAGGGGAGACGGGGCGCACTGTCTTCTGAGATCCATGTCATGGTACCAAGCAGGCCAGGGTGGCACAGGGAATGACACCAGGAGTCTTGGTGACAAGGTGATGTTGGGAGGGCAAGACCCCTGGACTCTCCCTTCACCTCCTGCCACATTCCTTCCCCACATCAGCAGGCTGTGACTGCTCTCCTAGAAGAAAAGACCCTCAACCCGCACACCTCCCTCCTCTGTCACCACCACTGACAGGTGCCACCACGATCCTGGGGCCGGACACAGCAAGGGCTGACCCAGTTGTTTCCTGGCTTCCACTCTGACCCCTTACAATCTGTCCTATACCTCACACCAGAGTGAGGTTTCAAAATCGTGCGTCCAGTCACGAATGTCTACTTTGCACGTCTCCAGGAATGTCTGGGCATTACTCGATCCCTCTCTGACTCTATTTACCATCTTCTTTTCCCTTTCCTTCCCCAATTCTAGCTTGCTCCCAGTTCCCCAGACAGAGCAGGCTTATCCCTCCCTCACAGCCTTTGCCCAATTCTTCTGCCTGGGCTGTTCTTCTCTTGGTCCTTCACATGTTTTATTGTTTTCCTTACATTTACCGTTTCCTGACATTTTATTTTTTATTCTGTGGGAAGCGGGGCTTATTGGGTAGGTGTTTACTACAGATCTCAGGAACGAATGGCAGAGCTGGGAGCACATATTTGGCAGCAGTGGACTGAGTGGTGACACTTTCGAGTCTAAAGATGAAGATGCCCAGCAGGACCCTTACGGCTCCTCCTCTGCCAAATCCCCAATGTGAACACCTGCACATCCAGGAGGGGCAGTCTCTGCAGCGCACAGAACAATGATAAGAAGGGACACCTCAGCTGTGGGCACCCTCTGAAGTGCCCAGGACACAGTGTGCTCCCTTTAAGGGCTGCTCTCTGACAAGGGGGGGCGGTGCTAGGGTCACTCAGACCCAGGCTCATATCCAAACTCCACTGCTCGCTAGCCCTCCTCTGGGGCAAGTCCCTTCACTCCAGACCCCGTGCCATGGTGTCTCATCTGCAAGGCAACCTGGCTCCAATTCTGGTACCCTAGCCATTGTGATCACATGGACAATGGCTGTGGAGGCGCCTGGGACACCAAGGATCCTTCCAGTGGGATCAGAATGTTCAGGGTCGTATGGCTGCAGACTAAGAATCCTTCAAGGTTGGTACAGAGACTCACAGGACTGAGCACCACAGGACTTATATGCTGAGGAGAGAGGTCCCAGGTCTTCTGACAAGTGATGCGAGGCAAGAGCAGGCAGGAGAAAAGGCAGGACTCTCGCTTAGAGAGGCGCCAAAGAATATCTGTGCCCCTGCCCGTGTGTGTGTCTTTGTGTGTGTGTGCGCGCACACACGCATGCGAGACAGAAATAGAGGGAGAGGGAGGGAGAAATAGCCCATCCCTATTATGTAACAATGTTAGCCACTCTTCTAAGCTCTTGATCTATGTCATCTCATTTAATTCCCACAACCACCCAATGAGGCAATTACTACAATTCCCATTTTACAGAGGAGAAAACTGAGATTCAGAAAGGTGAAGTGACCAGCTTCTAAGTGTTTTGGAGCTGGGACTTATGCAGGTCTACACGCCCTGAGTGCTGTCTTCTCTGGCACATGATGAGCCAGCTGCTCCCTATAGAAATATTCCCATTTTTGCCCATGAGAAAAATAAGGCCCAGAGAAGTGACTTACCCAAAAATCACACAGGCAGCAAATAGCAGAGTCAAGATCAGAATCAGTCCCTCCGCCTCCTAAGGAACTGTTTCCACTGTTGAGCTCTCCCTCCTGACCCGCCGAAGACCCCGCGCGCACAGGCAGCCGGAGCAGAGCAGCTCAGTCTAGGTTCTGAGGTGCTCCCTCTCTGCTCTCAGTCCCCATCTGATTTACTGGCAGACCCGAGTCCTGGGAGAGCTACTGCGGAGCTTCACAGCAGCGGACAGTGAATCACTAAGGGCAAGCCCCTTTCTGGAGACACGTGCATCCCACGGGGGAATTAGACCTTAACCCAAAGGAATGTGGCTGCGATGGCGCGGGGAATGCGGCTGTGACGGCGCAGTTTCAGCTAGCTAGACGTGGGGGTTGGGGGTCTTCCGTCTCGCCCTCCATGAAGAAGGCTGGCTTCAAACCCCTGGGAGAGTAGAGAAGCCCGCTCTAGAGGGACGGGCAGACTACCACAGCGGAGCGAGATGGGAAGCCCACACGGGGTCTGGAGCGGAGCACGCAGAGGACTGGAGGGGACCGGAATCCAAGTCCTGAGCCGCCCTTGACTATCTCTGCTCCTGGGCAAGTCCTGCGCCTTGGACGACTGGACGAGGGTTTTCCCACCTGTCAAATGGGAATGCCGGCCTCACCCCTTCGTGGGAAAGATCCACTGACGCAGGAACCCGGAGGTTTCCCAGGGGCCGACAGCGGGCTAAGCCCCGCTCCGTGCGCAAAGGAGAGCGCTTGGAGGGAGAGTTGCGGGCGCCCTAATGGACCCCAGCGCGGCTGCTCCGAGGGCGCGGACCGTGGGTTCCCGGGCGCCCTCCGGCCTCCCCGAGCCGGGGGACTCCTACCTGGCTCAGCGCAGCCGCCGCTCCTCTCCCGGGCAGCCTCGGCACATTTTGCGCAAACCTGACCCCAGTCCCACCCGTGCCAGCCTGGGTCACGGCCGCGGAGATCGGCCGATGCACCGCCCCACCGGAGCCGGCCGCGAGGGGGCGGCGCCGCCGAGTTTAAATACCTCTCCCGCCCCGCCGCCACGCCCCGAGGGGCCTGGGCCGTGGCGTCCTAGCGCCCGCTCCCTGCGTTCGTGGGTGACTCGGTTTCTCGCGAACTGGCGGTGCGGGGGTGGGGTGAAGCATCTTCCGTACGCTGGAGTCCGGGCTGAGTAGGATCAAGGGCGAAGGGGACCCCTGCAAAGGCCGGGAGGGAGAAGACAGCAAAGCCTGCGCGGGCGAGCGAGGCCCCGGGGCAGCGGCACGTGCAGCCGGGGGCCCGCGAGGGGCGGGGCGGCGCTCGGAGCTCGGGTGCTGAGAGGAAATCCTGCCTGCCCCGATTTCCCTAAGGCCGGCGCCGCCGCTCTGAGGCGGAGAGAGTCAGGAGAGGTGACTGGCGGCCACCAACGGCGGAAGGAAATGACCCTTCGTTGGCCCTGGGGCGGCCGCGGAGGGGGTTCCCCGCACAGTAGCCGTTCCTCCCCCATCATCTACCGGACTATCAAATTCCTCAGTTTTTCAGATGTAGAAGCTGGAGCCAGGGGTGTGGACAGTAAACACAGGTAAAAACTAGTTGGTTAGATCCCCATTTGTTGTTGGGAAGCTGGGGCTCAGGAAGGTTAAACGGCACAGCCAAAGTCACAGAGCTTGTGAGAGGCAGGGATTTTAGGCTGATGGGTCCACAACCCTAAATCTAGTCAAGTCGGGGCACCCTCTTGCCCTGGTTTTTTAAGTGCTGTCCATGAGCGGGGTGGCTGTATTGTCTTTTACATCAGGATTTGGAGCAGATCTTTCCAAAGCCACTCCCTCTTTCAAAGCCTCGCCTTGCCAAAGCTCTGGTACTCTGTCCTGCTGGGTGTGGCCTCAAGGTAAGGGTACATGAGGGAGGGATGTCTACCCTGCTCTCTAGGCCTTAGTTCTGTGGGTAGATTCCTCTTTCAATATGTTCTCTTCCCTGCTGTCACCAGCGTTGAGTGGCTCAGTGCTGGGGCTCCAGTTTACAACTGTGTAAGTGACCACCTGCTGCCTTGTGGCAAACCAGGATAAAACTGGGCATAGAGCTGGGCTCCCTGAAATGTTGACAGCCAATACCTTTTCTTCCTCCCATACAGACCACTCTGGAAACAGACCTGGGCGGAGGAGGTCAGCCCGGAGAGGACCCACCTGACATCAGCTGGCCCTGGGGCCTGACCTAGCCTCACAGGTCAGGGAAGGATTCCTGAGCTGCCCTGAGGGGGTGGGTAGGAGGTTATGGGTCAGAGGCCCGTCAAAGCCTGGGAAGGGTATCCATTCTTTCTCTTCCCTCCAACCACCATGCCCTCAGATCTGTGCTTGCAAGAGTCCCACGTGGTCCATACCAGCCCTAATCAGAGTGCTCTGTCAGGACAGATAGAACCTTGGTTTCCTCTCTGTGAAGTGGGGAAGACACTAGCTACGGCTTGGGGTTGGTTCCAGAACTAGCGTATTGGGTTCAGGCTGGTGACCTGTCCCTGGGGGTTGTGAGTAACTGCTGTGATGGCTTTATTGCACAGATTGGGGGGAATACTTAAGTTATTCCTTGACGGCTTCCTTTTCCAGGTATTTGTCCAAGGGACAAATGTCTATGAAAGTGCAGTGTGAACACAGTATGGCTAAACTAGAGAGTGTCTGAGGCACTTCTGTCTGGCTTGCTACCCCAGCCAGGTTAGACTGGCTGAGCACTGCCTCACTCTTCCTGGAGCTGCCACCAAGCAGAAACTACTGGGCTGTCACTCACTAGCGGCGGGCTGGGGCACGCTGGGGCTATGGCAGGCTGGGGCTGGGCAGCTCCCCTCCAGTGCAGCAGTTGTGGTTGTGGTTAGTTGGTTCGTGGGGTTCCACCATACTTAGTGCCCGATGGGGCTCCCCAAGAGTTGGAAACATCTGGGCGATCAAGCATGCCCACCTGCTACAGATGTCTCTTGGGGCCTCCGGCTAAAAGCCAGGAACTTCTCGGCACCCTTCCTTCATCTTTTCCCTCCCTCAACAGTCACATTGTGTGACTTTCAGCAGGTTGCTTGATCTTTCTGACCTTAGTTTGTTCCTCTGCAAAGCGAGACTAATTATAGTGCTAATGAGGGATCACAGAGGGATCACGCCGTGTAAAGTACCTACGGGCTCAGCAAATATGAGCTCTTCCCTCGTGGGCCTTAGTGAGCTGGTGAATAATGTCTAGGACCTACTTTAATGGAGTTCCCTGAGCAGAGGAGAACACAGAGGATGCCTGAATCTGGAGGCCTTGAAGGCCAAGTCCAGGAAGATGGGTGGGAACTGAGCAGCTTGGGTTTTCCTGGCAGCTAGGTAGAGGTTCTGTTAAAGGCCACTGAGGCCACCTGTGTATCCAGTACTGCTCAGCTCCTGGTTGCACCCTCCAGACACAGATGGACAGCTCAGACCTCACAGGGTTGGTATTTTTGTGGAAATGCTTCATTCCCTCATGCATCTGTCAGTGAAGATAGGAGGCATGTCTTTTCCTGTGTCTTTAGCACTGTCATTCTGAGGTGGTGCCTCTCAGGCTGAGGGTTCCCTGGGGAGGGTTTTGCAACTTCAGGGTCCTATGTAGAAGTTAGTTGTCCAGAAAGGCAGTGATGTACACATCCTGTGTGAACTTGGACAAATTTACTAAGCTTCTCTGGGCTTTGCTGTCCCTGTCGAAATGTAGAACAAGAGTGGGAAAGACTATGGCATCTTGGATCCCCAGTTTAGTTTACTTTTTGTGGAATACTCGCTATGGGCTGTTTCTCCCTCTCATGTGTTAAGTCAAAATAGGGACTGCCATAGCAGCCTTCTAAGTAGGTGTCTTTATCGTTATCTTTAACTAGGCAACTGAGGCTCAGAGAGGCTAAGTAATTGGCCCACCGCACAGCATTAGAACCTGGAATGAATCCAGGTGTTCACCTCCCAGACTCGATCTCAGTGCACGAATGTGGCCGTCCTTGTTCCCTGCCCCTTCCCAGCACCCCTGTGGGCCCCTATGTGGGGAAGAACCTTGGGCCCCTCAATTCCCTCATCTACCCTCCCTTATCCCCTGAGGCAACTGAACTCAGACTATGCCAGCTAAGGACCACTTTCTAGAGGGACAATAAGAAAGGACAACAAATGTGGTTGGGTGTCACCTAGAGGGAACTGGTGAGCTGAAAGCTTGCTGGGTACCTGGGAAAGAGACATGCACGGGTGAGGACAGGTGGTGTGCCTCTTCCTCTGAGGTCTGCAGTGGGAGTGATGAGAACTTGCAGCCCCAGGCCTCGTGCTAGGGGCTCTTTCGGAGTTGTCTTCTCCCCACAGAGTCCCAGGAGGCAAAGACACCAGTGGCCCCTTTTGTAGAGGAGGGGCTGGGGTTCAGAGGGCACGCAGGAGGCAGGACAAGGTGCAGCAGGGGCTCCCATCCCGGTTCTCAGCCTCCACAGGCACCATGTGTGGCCAGAGACTTTTGTAGCTGGGTTTTAGTTCTCTGTAGGGTACGGGTCACCCCCTCCCTGTGACATTCAGTTACTTACCCAGGCAGCGGGAGCAGGTACAGGTGAGGCCCAGGCCCCAAGGCCATTGTACGGGAGGCTCAGGGCCCTGTCAGTCAGTGAACACTGTGGCTGATTCTGGATAGGGAGGCTCCGGGAGGCCCCCAGGGAAGATGAGATGTTAGTGAGAAAATTCGAGAATGGGCAAACCAGGCAGTGCAGGATTAGAAGCATCCCCATAGCCTGACTCTGCTATGCTGCGGACCGTGAAACCACAGCCTTCTGCAGCACCGAGGCTGCTGGGAACCCGAAGGCTTGTCTTTCTGACGGATTTTCCCTTCTGTTTTACCCATTTGAAGGTTAACCCCAATAGGCCCTTTTCTTGATGGTGTTAGGCTTTCGTTATGGTCTCTAAGGCCATAAAATATCATCTCCAAACCACCGGTAGCTGCAGAGCTGAGCCCAGGGCAAGGTGGTGACCAGCACATGTGCCCTTGAGGCCAGAGCTGATGGGA